TAAACTTGAGGCATTTGTGGGAAATCAGATGTCCCAACGTTAAAGTGAAGTCAATCAGACACACAAGCTTAAATATCACATGGTTCCTCTTAGATGAGAAATCCAAACTCTAAACTAAGAGCAAAATAAAAGATAATTGGAAGTAGGGCGATAGAGCTCTCAAATGGCAGGGGCATCAGGGATTGGAGAGAGGGAACAAAAAAGGAATGAAGATGAGTTGTGCACATGCACCAGCTCCACAAAGGAACCAAACATTATATACTGCACACATGTAATATAGAAAGTCAGGATTTGATCCCTTTAGAACTCAGTGCCCATTGCCTACCTAGATCAGCAGACAACCTGACCAGTTATGCCACCTCATTACTTTCATGACATTTAATTTTTCGGTATCTGGAGAAATCTCTTCCTTGCTGTTGTAACTGCTCTGGGTTTAGGGGTCAGGGAACAGGTTTGTTCTGATCACTTTCACCAAGGTCCCTGTGCATCTTCTTCTGAGAGAACTTTTGTTTGGGAGTAGATCTGATAAGGACTTGAGTGTGTGTGTCAGGACCAGAGAAGAATTAAGGCCTAATTGGCCTCCTCTGTGAGCACAAAGAAGAAAGGCCTCAGTCAGGGACGACTGGCTATTAGGGAAAAGTTAAGACAGCTGAGGTTAAATTGTTTACCAGAGAATGTTCTAATGGACACTGGAAACCAGATGAATCTTGTGTTACCCTGATTGCATAGGCCAATGTTTGGGTGAATAAAAGTGAAGCAAGGTAAAGGCTCAGGCTTCTCCACCTGCTAGAGGATGAGCCCCGGGGTCAGGGAGGAACAAAGTAGCTGTCATAGGCTGGTTAGGTGAGCTGGCTACAGGTGGTGCCCCAGCTTGGGGCTGGAGACTCAGGGTCACCTGCAAGTGTGCATTATGGACCACACAGAAAGGCGTCACAGACACTGTGTAGCTGTGCCATACTAACACCGTGCTTCTCAAACTTCTAAGAGAGTTCAGTCACCTGGGAATCTTGTTAGAAGGCAGGACCTGAGATTCTGCCTGTTTAACCAGCTCTGAGGTAAAACTGATGGTGCCAGTTCTTGAACCTCAATTTGAAGTACAAGGTACTTAGACTACCCAGTTTTCCTTGAGTCTGGAAGAAATTATGCTTTGCTTTCAGAGTCAAGGAAAAAAAAAATCTTTCTCTTTTGTGCCCTACTGTGTATGCCAGATCATAAAATCCAGGCTTGGTATAAAACAAGTTGTTTGTTTATGTTTTTAAACAAAGTATCCACAAAATTTATTTTGAAAATAAGATACTTTGACTAAATCTATTGGTTCAAACATTTTTTGTTTTTATTTTTGTTTATTTTTGGCTTTAAATTTTTGAAACTCACACCTCTACCATAGGTGATATTATGGCATGTCCGGCTTGAAATTTCTAGAACCATCTATGAAGAGCTGTTCAACCACCAGCCCCATCTTGAAACAAGAAGATGTAAGGCTTCTCTGGTCTGTATAAGTAAATATGGAACTCTGGGCATTAAAGAGAGTAACGTCAGATGTTAATATGGCTTTGGAATTTGTTCGTTGACTTCATGCCCCTATTTTAATAAAAGTCAACTTAGGAATTTTGTAGATTTATTCTGAGATTTCCCATAGCAAACTATATCCCTATGTATGTATAGTTATTCTCTGTATCACTTGTTTTTAGTCTGCCCAAGAATTAATGCTACGCATAACAGGCAAATGTAAAAACACCCATACTGAATCCCGAGATCAAATTGCACAAAAGTGATATAAATTAGACATTGTCAGAAACTGTTTTCAAAAGAAACAGAAGCATTTTACTGATTACCAACTCAGTATAAGGAGCTACAATGTTATTCAGTCCTGAAATTCACCAGAAGAATGGGGCTGGAGTAAGACAATGAGCTTCCTCTAGTTTGAGTTGGCAAATCCACACATGGGGCGGTGTAGTGTTGGAGGAGGGTGACTGTGTCAGAGAGGTTGATGGTGAGGTGAAAGTATGGGTAGTCAGATTTACAAGAAACAGTGAAAAAGATCAATGGGTTTGGCAAAGATAAACCAAGATGGAGAGCTTCAAAGTGTGCTATAAATTCAAAGAAATTGGGGTAATTATCTCGGAAGTATGTACATTAGAACTTTGGAGTGGGAGTCAGTAAAACCTATGGGTGGACGAGTGGATGGATGGATTGATAAATGAGTGGGTGGGTGGATGGGTAGATAGAAAGGCCGTGAACCCTGCCATGTACACCTATACCAGGTGGTTTCTTTCCCCAAACCCTCCAAAATTAGTATCTCCATGTGAAAACTGATAGGCCTGAGGCCAAGAGAAATTAAATGAACGATCCAAAGTCTTTGATCAGGTGACCCCATACTTTGAGCTGTTAACCTTTATTTATTGCCCTGCATGACAGCCAAAGTAGGTCACTGTTTAATTCCCCCTTGAAGAAATCACTTGCTGGCCAGCAGCAAGCAGTGTAGGTAGTTGACAGCCCCTGCTTCTGCTTCTAAGGCCATTGCTATTTTTGAGGAGGTCTAGACACATGATCTAACATAGCAGGGGGAGCAGGACACTGCTGGACTCTTCTGCCATTATGGACTGCAAGAGACAGTCTTTTCTCTGGGGCTCCCTGGTGAGTTACCACAGTGTGTCAGAGCAGCATTGCAATCTGAGGCTTGCACTGCCCAATTCTGTCCCCTACCCTCATTAGCATCTAGAAGTTACTCTGAATAAACTTCTTTTACTCATCTACCCTCTTCTGTTTTCCAGTAAACTCAGTGATACACCATGATTTCAAATATTTGGAGTAGTAGTAGTACATGCCTGTAACCCCAGCCTTCTGGGAGGCTGAGGCAGGAGGACCCGGTCAGGGAAATTTAATAAGACCTTGTATAAATAAGCACTCAAATAAATAAATAAAAGAGTTGGTGTGTAGCTCAGTGTAAAAGCCCTGGATTCACTGCCCAATACCACAAAAATTTTTAATTTGGAATGCCATAACAAGGTAGAGCATTTAGAATTGTTCTTTGTGGTTATAAAGAGTTGAATTGAGACAAAATGGCTCAACTGCTACAGAAGCAGTTTTCACATATACATTTCTTTTTCTGTTTGGAAAGATTTTTTTTCTCGAGTTTATTGGTACATTTTAGGTATACAGTACAGTTAGTTACATTCATCATTGGGATGTTGTACCTTTATATGACAAGTGTTGGTTCTCATTTTTTCCCCTTACCCCTTCCCTTCCTTCACCCCCTCCTCCCTTCCCTATTTACAAATACTTCATTTCCATTTTTTCATTTTCTCATGTTTTTTTCTTTTCTCTTATTTCTTTTCCCCTACCCTTCCCACTTTCCCTACACCTTTAGTCCTTTTCTTCCTATTTCACATTGTCAATTATACCATTAGGATCTTATGTACTATTATAGTTTTTCACACCAGAGAAACTATTTGGTATTTACACATGTGTGACTTATTTATTTAACATAAGAGTATATCCTCAATATGTATCCATTTTCCAATGAATGAAATCAATATGGAGATACCTCAAAGAACTAGGATTAAAGGTCCCATTTGACCCAGCCATCCCTGTGCTGGGTATCTTCCCAAAAGAATTAAAAGAATCATATTCCAGAGATATATGCACACCCACGTTTATAGCAGCACAGTTTGTAATAGCTAAAGCTTGGAAACAGCCCATTTGCCCATCAGTTGGAGACTGGATAAAGAAGATGCGGTTTTTCTATAAAATGGAGTACTACTTAGCTTTCACATATACTTAAGCAAGAACTTTCTAACAACCACAGGACTGCCAGACTGCCTGCATCCAGGTGAAGTTCCCTATCACACAGTCATTCAGGCCACCTGTAGAACTGCCTGGCCTGTGTACCTTGTGTGGCATGACATTTTCCCTTCTACACTTGCTGGAGTACTGTGGCCACTGCAGCCCTTTGCTAATTAACTAGCAATACCAAATTGTTCGGGAAGTCACACTGGAAGACTAAACTTCTGACTTCAGTGGTTCAGTGGGTCTGGTGCGATACACCCACACCTGCCTACTCCCAGGGCAGTTTGGCAGTGCTAGAGGCCAGGCTGGCCACTGGCCACATATGTTTTAACCGAAGAATCCATAGCAAATGAGGCAAGGCTGTGGGCTGGCTGTCTCCTGACTATTCGGCGAGATCAAACCAAACTTCACGTATGTGTAGCGTAAACAGTTCAACACAGGTGCACCATCGGATGGCGGTCTCTTGGCTCTCTCCACTGGCACATTTCTCAGGCTCAATAATGAGTACACTACAGCCAGAAAGATGCCCTTCTCCAAAGCTGTTCTCTCCTCCCTCCCTTTATCAACACAGGCATACCAAGGAGAGGACACATACTGCTCCTCTTCAAGATTCCATGATGGTCAGATTACATAAATAATTGCATAGCTCAAATAGTAAAAAAGAGATGGTAAGGTGTAGTTCATCCGCATAAGGACCGACATGTAAGGAGGCAATCAGTAGGTGTGGAAATATGCACTCAGCACCTGCCAGGGGCACAGCTTTCTTGCAGGTGCTAGGCATACAAAGACATGATCAACAGAGTCCACAGTGCCATGAAGCTTATATTTAAATGCCACTGAGAAACTTGCCTGGCCCTTCACCGAGAGAAGCAACCAAAGCCACAGCCATTGACAGTGACCCCAAGAGAGGCCCTCAACATCTCCAAGTGTGACCTCTGTTCTCACTCCTCACAGTCAAATTTCTACAGCATCCCTGATATTCTTACTGTACATATTCAGGAAATATTTTATTATACTAATAGTGCTCTGAATAAATTCATAAAATTTGCAAGTGGAGTTTTTTTTTTTTTCTTTCCTGAAAAGCAAGCTCAGCAATATTTGGGGACTTTTAGAGCTGATGATGCAGCTGACCTACTGGAGAGAGGCAGTGGGAGGGCCCTGGAGGGTATAAATAAATAGGAGCCCCTGGTGCTTCGAAGTCATAGCTCAGACTCGGGAAGAGCGCACCCACCCAGGCAGCATGAGGCTCAGCGCGGCCGCTCTGCTTCTCATGGTGCTAATCAGCAGCCTCTCTCCAGGCCACGGTGAGAACGTTCACTTGTGTTGAGCTCTCCTGTTAACAGAAATGTTCTTCAGTCATTTCCTTTTTTCTTTTTAACTTTCAATTAAAAAAATTGAGGAAGTCTAACTGAAGAGGGAAAAGTTATTTCTAGATTTGTAAACATAAGGTGCATAAGGAATTTGGAACAGAAACCAGAACTTTTATATTAAGATTTTCATTTGAAGAAGGAGGTGGTTCTGGAAGTCCAGGGTTCATGTGGCTTGTATTTGGTTCATGTATTCTTGTCCGCCGCTATAATAAGTGCTTCTGTTGTATCTCTTCATTCTGCTCTTAACCGTCACCAATCCCTTACAGGATCTAACGTTACTGACATCAACCAGTGTCCCGCATGGGACACTCATCAAGCCTTGTAAGTGCACCAGGGGCAAAGGACATACATTCTGCAAAAAGGCAGACTTGTGGATTGAAACTGGGCTGCGTGGGACTAGATAAATGTCTAGCTGTGGCAGTGTTTATATGGCTGAAGGAAAGGAAGCGGGCACAGAAAGAAACATCATCCAGGTGTAGAAGTTAAATTTTTGTGCTTAAAATGCAGTGCCCCCCCGCTTTTATTTTGTTCCATCTGTTTTTTTCACTCTCTAAAAACTCTCATTTCTCTCCTCCTCCATGAAGCTTTCCTTTTGCTTCTGACAAGTTCAACTCTTAGCAATCAGGATGCAGCACAGAGCTTGGGTGTAATACCACCTTCTGTGGTATTTGTAGTTTTTGTTCACTTGTTATCCCCACCAAATTGTGTAAACTCTTAGTGGGGCCATTTTATTTATAAATGTATATCAAGCACAGTGGTAGGCACTGTGGATAAATAGGGGTTGATAATGTCTTTTTTAAATAGAGACATGAATTTTATTGAAATACATGAGATGAATTGCTTATAAAAATATCTACTACAAGCAGCTTTTATTGTTGAATGAAAATAGTCTCAAATTTTTACAGTTGTTTTGTTTTCTGGTAATAATTTGCAACTAAGACAGAGAACCGACATATTAAACAAATACCAAAAAGAGAGTATCTTTTGTGGCAGTCTGTCTGATAGAGGGTGGCGTTAATCTGCAGATACTGCTAACCACACCAAGGCCTCCTTTTTCATGGGCTGGCAGTGAAGATCAATTGATTTTTTTTTTTATTGCCTTAACTACAGCGGAGTTGTGTGTCCCTAAAGTGGTGGGTCTCGATTTTTATTATATAAACCATCACCTGAATAGCAATATAAAGTGACCACAAATTTTAGTAAGCATTGTGCTTCTTAAAAACCAATTTCAAAGGTTTTGATAGAATACACTTAAAATCATCCAAGCCAAGACAAATGTAAATGTGTAAACTGAAAGCCTACATGGCTGAACATACCAGCTGGAATCCTATCTTTTGTTATATTTTAATTTATTTGGTATGTGAATTGAACACAGGGTCTTCACTCTGAGCTACATCCCGGCTCTTCTTTTATTTTTTATTTTGAGACAGGGTTCTGCTGAGTCTTTCAGCTGACAAGGCTAAGCTCAAACTTTCGGTCCCTTTGCCTTGGCTTTCCAGATTGCTGAGATGGGCGCAACACCATGCCCAGCCAGCTGGAAATGTTTCGGTCTTCAAGTGCAGAGTATGAAAGTTTGGTTCTAACTACAAATTAAATGCCAAAGGGATTAAAATAACTAATTCTCTGTTTACAGGTGTTCTGGAGGCCTACAACACAAACCTGAAGTGTAGATGTATTCGAGGAACCTCGAGCATCAACATATCCCACATCCAGAGACTTCAAATTAGAGCCCCTGGGCATGGTTGCCCAAACACAGAAATCATGTAAGTTGCAAGAAAAAATAAATATGATTCCTTTCATCCAGTGAAAGTCAGTTCAAATGCTGTCACAGGGCTGATAAGAATCTCCGAGATTTAATCAAATGCTGTTAAATTCTGAAACTAATAATGTGCATCAGGAATATTTAAGGACTTATTTTGCAGCAGGTGTAAATTAAGTGCTTTACACTGGCCTGCTCCCTCATTTTTCTCTTTCCCCTGCTCCTTTTAGGTGTGCTTATGTTGTCATTCCTTGACAGATGCAGAAACAGAGACAGCCAGGTGTGGTGGCACATGTCTGTCCGTAATCCCAGAACTCTGGAAGCTTAGGCAGGAGGATGGCTGTGAATCTGAGGCCAGCCTGGGCTATGTAGCAAAACCCTATCTAAAAAATCTATAAGGGAGCCGAGACAGAGGGAGTCTAACCCCTACCTGGCACCTACCACAGGGAGGGGATGGAGCCAGGGCTCCCCCCACATCCCCTCCATTTCCTGCCTCTTTTCACACCTTGGAATGTGCAGTTCACATAGCCTCCTTCTCAGGGAATCTCTACTTTACTTTTATCCGTAGCTCTTCCCACAAACACTGGTGGCGGGGCTGGAGATGGAACCCAGAGCCTTGCACATGCCAGATAAGCACCCCACCACTGAGCAACACCCCCAGTCCCCATGAATTTCTTTAGGCTTTTGAAATGTTTGTAAGCAGTTATTTTTTGTTTGTCCCATTTTGATACCAGTGATATGTGCCTCACTTGTAAAACAGAAATAAAGGATATCAAAAATGTATATGCAATTTTTCATTTAAAAGGCATTATAGTTTCGCCCATGTCTTCACCAGTGAAACTTCTAACTAAAGGACAGTTATCGTCCTCAAAGCTGGGAAGTCTAGTCCTGTTGCATGTGGAAGCTGTTCTCCTGGCTTTGTGGAAGGGCCAGGCTTCTGTCCATTTCCCCTGTCACAACTCGGGTTTCTTACCTCTCAACCAAGGGAAGTGATACTCCCTAATTTTGTCTGCCTTAATGTCATAGTTTTGAATTTAGAAAAACTTGACTGTATATCTTCTTGTCAAATCCTGCATTTCTGAATTTCAGCCAGGTATAGAAATGAAAGCTGTGATTTTTAGGAAAAACTCAAATCAATCAGGAGAGAAAACACCAGATGGTTTTAGATCTGTTTTTCCATCATGAGCTTAGAAAGGAAATCAAAAGATGCTTCCAAGAATCCACCTGATCCATGACTTCTGACTTCAGTTAGCTTCACCTACAAACATGGAGTTTCAAAGTTGGATGGATAAGCCAGGCGTGGTGGCTCACGCCTGTAATCCCAGCACTCGGGAGGCTGAGGCAGGAGAATCACTATGAGTTTGTACCCTGGGCTACATAGTGAGTTCCAGGTGAGACCCTGTCTCAAAAAACCAAAAAAAAAAAACAAAACAAAAAAAAAAAGTTGGAAAGATGGAGCCTTCTGTTTGCAGATTTATAGAAAAGATAACTGACATGTCAAGAAATCATGCTTTGAGGCCACACCAGTAGAGGGTGGACTCTTCCATGTTCAGTCACCTGGAAGAACACTTCTCCACTGCAGATAGGGCCCTTAGCATTGTGTCTGGACCTTGGTAATGATTCAGGTCAGGCTTGTGGAAAGCAGTGGCTGAAAGGGAGTTCTGCAATTTTAATATCTTTATTTGTTTTTTTTCTTTTTATTGAGTTTATTGGTACATTTTAGGTATACAGTACAGTTACATTCATTATTGGGATCTTGTACCTTTACATGACAGGTCTTGGTTCTCGTTTTTTCCCCTTGTCCGTGCCCTCCCTTCACCCCCCTCCCCTCCCCATTTACAAAACACTTTATTTCCATTTTTTCATTTTCTCATATTTTTTTCTTTTCCCTTATTCCCTTTCCCCTACCCTCCCACTTTCCCTACACCTTTAGCCCTTTTCTTCCTATTTCACATTGTTAATTATCTAATTGGGATCTTGTGTACTATTATAGTTTATTCACACCAGAGAAACTATTCGGTATTTACACATGTGTGACTTATTTATTTTACTTAGTAGTATATCCTCAAAATGTATCCATTTTTTAATGTCTTTATTTGAATCTTGCCATATCATGTATTTGCTGTGCAATCTTGGATGAGTTATTTGAACTTGCTGAGCCTCAAGACATCAGACAGTAAAGAAATAACAGTTCCTCTGGCACAGGATTTTCACAAGATGAAGACAGACAGTTCATGTTTACCTGTTGAGCACAGTGTGTGGCCTGCTGTGCAGTATGGTATTTCATAACCGTGGGCCAGTAGCAAGCATTGCTGCTTTTGTTATAGCCTAAGTCCTTAGAACAGGGGAAGTCTTGCTAATTGCTGGTTCAGCAAAGTATTGCTTGGAGCAACCAAGTTCTACAATCTCTCACACTTTAAATGTTATTGGATTTTTTTTTTTAGATAAAAGATCTTTAGTGGAGCGTTTTCTATAAACTATTTTGTTCATTCAGCCATTCATTTCTTTATTTACTTATTTTGCCATGCTGGAGATTGAACCCCAAGCCTTTGCACTGAGCTATATCCTCAGCTTTGCCCTCCCTCCCTCCCTTCCCTTGTTCCTTCCTTCCTTTCATTCTTTCTTTCTTTTACTGTGGTTTCCTTTCTTATTTTTATTTGGAGACAGGATCTAACTAAATCATTAGGTTGCTCATGCTGAGCATGAACCTGTGATCCTCCTGCCTCAGCCTCCCGAAGTGTTAGAACAACAAGACTACAGGTCACCACACCCAGCTAACAAGTATATTTTAAAGGTACTGTGATATAACTTTAGAAGTGAGCCAATCTTGGCATCAGGAATTTATTCCTTCTCCATCTTGCAAAGATTGTCAACAAAACACTAATCTCTGACATGTAAGATTCTGACAACTTTGGATTCATCCACCTACTCTCACCTATCAGTCCACAAATGTTCATTTTCTAATATCCAGGCTTCGTGCCACAAATCACCTATTCTAGATCTGAAACTGCCCAGCTCTGATTTTACTTCATCTAGGACTAATTATTTTCTCAACCAACTCTTTCCATTACTAAAAAGTGCAGGATGGAATACGATATATTACTCTTTCATTTTTAATTTTATTTTTTTTCCTAGAGCCCACTTGAAGAATAAATCCATTGTATGCTTGAATCCTGCAGCCAAGAGGGTGCAAATATTAATGACATTTTTACAGAAGTAAGTTGGGCACATGCAGGGTTTCTAGAGTCCCGTTTATTGTGAAGGACTTCCCTTTCCTAGGCAGCCAAAATGTGGGACATTTTAAATGTATAAGTTCTATGACAAACTCCTGCTTTTCCTACTACTACTGATCACACAGAGCAAGGGAGACCCATTCTAGAAATTCAGTAAACTGGAAATCAGTTGATATTTCTGGGGGAGAGCTATAGTTTCTTCTTGGTATTTCTCTAAATGTGCTGTTTCGTTTTGTTTCACAGAAAAAATATGCTTTCAACTGCACCAGCTCCAGTGATGAAGAGGGCCTCCTGATGCCAGTATGCCCCCTAGAAACACCTGCTTTTGCCCCTTATCCCTATTCTGTGTTTTAGTTTTGTTCTTGATTGAATTTTTTTCCAAGAAAAATAACTTCTTATATAAATAAGCGCAAGGCTCTCTGTAAAAATAAACTTGCCCAATCAGGTGGGACAAAGTCAAGATCTCTCCCATGCAGACCCCCAGGTACTTAGAGTTCCCTTTTTATTCTTGAAGGAGTAAAGGTTCTCTGGGGAGAGTTTAGTTATAAATTATATAGGATTTGTTGATAATTGTTGTTGTAGCATTAAACCTGTTGTTTAATGCTAAACTATCCTAAAAGATAAGGGAGTGGGAATGTAAACCTCAAATATGAAAACGTATCTTGAATCAAGAAAATCACAGAAGCTATTGTCAACCTTCTGCTTTAACAAAAGCAGATTTCCTTGGGAATCTTGAAAAACTGCATGGGAAACAAATGGAGCTTTAGTCTGACAAGGTCAGGAAGACTTCACATAGTGGATATAAAAACCACTCTTGATGGGAATGGGGTCCTCCTACTTTTAAAGCATTCCTTTGTAAGATGTATTGTCCCAGATTAAAACAAATAACATCGGAAGATCCTCAGACTTAAGATTCTGTAATATGTAAGAAAAGCATTTGAAGGGTGATATTCAGCTCTATTCTTTTCCACACTTGTCTTGATGGACTTTTTAATCAGATCTTTTGCACAATCAAATTCTTTAATGTTTTTTATTCATCTAATGCTAGGTAATAAACTTGAGCAAACATTTTACTTCATTATGAGCAATTCGTTCTTAATAAAACGTTTACTCAAGATATTCTGTGGCTCTTCATAATGAAAAGGTTTGAGTGTGCTGATTTTGTCTTTGCATATCACAGGCTTCTACAGACCTCAAACTGTAGCAGAGGTGGGGGGAGTTCCTCCGTGGGAAATGCTTGCTATGGGAGCCTCTTTCCCCTGACATGCTAATCAGGATTTCCTCCAGACTCAAAACTCTCACTCCAACCCATTCTTGCTGTCTCTTTATTGATTCTTCAAATCTTCAATGTTTTATTTGACAAAGTTTTGCAATGAATTTGACAAGCAGCAGCAGAAGACACTTCAAGCTCCTTCATTCCCACCACAGCAATGAGTTTCCACAACTGTCAATTCCTCCTGTTGTCCCCAGCTGCTTTGGAGGCCTCTTCCTAGCACCCCCACATTCTATGCTCTTCCTAGACCCTCTTTCATTTTTCTCTCTACAGTTGGTTTATTTTTATTAAATAAATGTCTTGGGAAGGAATAAAAAGTAGCTACAAATACTATATTTTATGTTGTCTACATTTTTATTATAGACACACAACAATGTGATTGTAATGTATCATAAAAATTGGATAATCTAGTGTTTTTCAGACTTTAATGTTTGGAAACCAGAAATCCTTTCTATGCTTTGATTTGGGTCCTCTTGGAGAATGTAGCTAGATACATATTTGGGAGCCTCAAGTAAGAAACACAGCTGCTCTTGGCACCCCCACTTTACGGCTGGAGAAGTTGGCACCCAGTGCGGTGCAGGAACTGGCATAGGCCATATACCCACTACATAACAGACACAGATTGGAGGCCGGGCAGCATGGCTGCTTCAAGAATCCATTCTTCTAACCACTACACTGTGCTGACCCCATAGGAGGCAGACATTGTCAGTAGAAACCTGAGGCAAATAGACATTTGCTCCCCCAGTTCACATAACCAGAAAGAGAGAAACCAGAATTCAAGCCAGGGTCATCTGACTCCTTAGTGAATTCTCTGAATCATTACACTAAACTGCATGCAGTTTTCTTTTCCATAAGTATATTTCTGACCTTTTCAGGGCCAATCAGGGCCAGGGAATGTTGCACATTAGAGTATCTATAGGTGATAATATAGTGCATATTTTTTTAAACTAGAAGAGAGGGCTTTGACTGTTTTCACCACAAAGAAATGGTAAATGTTCCAGGAGATGTGCTTGTTCTGATTTGAACATTACACGACATACTCATGTATTAAAGTATCACGTGGTGCCCCATAAATATGTTCAGTGTTTATGTATCAATTGCAAAGAAGGGGCCAAGGGAATTAAGGGAGTTTCAGCAGCTTCAGGCTTCCCTGGGTCAAGGCGTCCAGCGCGTGTGGTCTAATCCCAGAGGGATCCAGGCAGCTGCAAGGCAGTGAGGCAGGACAGATGTGCAAAAGGAAACAGAAAAAGGGCAGTGAGGGTGTCAAAACTGTTTTTCTTACCATCCAAACCTTCATTCCTCAAAAGTTACAGTAGATTGAGGGTAGTGAGCCTGATTTGGAGTGAGGAACATAAGCCACAGTTAGATGAGGAAAACCTGTTGAACCAGTTCGTAGAGGATCTGAGGAAAAGTCTAGAAGGAAAGAATCATGGTCTAGGCAAAATTTAGGTAATTGTGATGACATATACTGGACCCTTGACTTATAAACTCAATTCATTCTGAGGGCTGGTTGTAACTCAACTTGGTCAATTGAAAGCTCAGGCTCCTCTACACAGCCTCCAAAATCTCTCTCCTGTATGCAGGCAGATCTCATTATCCTTAGAGAGACGTTGGCCCGGGATTTCTCAGTGTCACACAGGAAAGGATGTTGTAGTGTTCCTTCCACAACTCTTTAAGGATTAAATCTGTATTTGAGATCATCTGGAAGCACAAGCGGCTGGTATCTGGGTCATAGCTGAAGACTTTGCTCACAAGTTAAAACTAAAACTCTGGTTGTAACCTAAGTTGTTCATGTGCCAGGCTGGTTGTAACTCAAGGGTCCACTCTACACACATACACAAGGCAATTAAAACTCAAAGTAAGTAGAGTTCAAGGGAAAATATAAGGTAATGCTGACCAAAACAAAATGGCTGACTCTGAGAAACTGAACAGGGGAGCTAGTGGCCAAGATACACAGGATGTCTTGGCAGTTGAGGCAAGACATCTGAAGTCAGGGGCACTGAGCCTTCACAGCACTGCCTAAACCCATTCTGGTAGCTCTACTGAAAGTGCGTGGCCCTGGCCTCACTGTGAAGTGGCTCGTCCTGCTGTGTCCTTCTCTTTACTACCACATTCCATCTCCTTCCTTTCAGACAGCTGCTTCCCACTGAGATGTGCTATTCTACTGCTGGTAAATTTTTGCAAGGTTGGTGCATGTCCCAGGGTTTTCTTGCTCTCCTGTAAAGTCTGAGGGTATTTTGGAACAGAATTAATGTGCTGGTCTACAAAAGAAACTCAGTGGAACTGAGAAAGAAGAAGAGGCTCCTGGAGTCAGAAAGGTGACACTTAAAAAGAAAAATCGTATTATTTGCAACCCCCAAGGATAAATTTCTCCATGTGTGGTGTCTCTGAAGAGCACCCAACATCCCAAGGTACTTGTTCAAATACCTATTCTCTGGCCCTTTCCCCAATCAACTGAACTCAGATGTGGAGCTCACCAGTTTGCATTTACCAAACTGTAATATAATTTTTAGAAAAATAAACTACATTGAAGCTTTGTCTCTGGCTCCTGGCAGAGAGCTCCTAAAACCCTTAGAATTTCCAGTGAAATAGAAATGTCTGTATTCATAATAAAGCTTGCAAAACATTGTTCAGCCCTCACAGCACAGTAGAGCCATCTAAGAAGTTTTCTTTTTCTTATACAGGTTAATTAAGTTGTAGTTTATGTACAGCACAACTCGTACCCTTTAAGGTTTCAGTTCTGTGAGCTGGTTGGACCAGCCCAGATGTTGTTCCAAAGTCTCGCCTTCTCCACTATACAATGCGTATAAATGCAACCATATAATGCGCAGCCTGTTTTTTGTCGCTTTTGCTTTGCATAATGATTTTGAGATTCATCATGCTGTTGGATGTACAACTAGTTTATTCCTTATTGTTACAGTTATTACTTTGTATGGATATACCACAAGTTTATTCATTCACCAGTGGATAGATTTAAAGCTGTTTCTGGTTTGGAGCTATAACAAAGAAAACTGTTGTCCCACATTGTAGATTGAGAAAATAGATTCATTCATAGGAAAATGGATACATATTGAAGATATACTCCTAAGTGAAATAAATAAGTCACACATGTGTAAATACCGAATAGTGTCCCTGGTGTGAATAATCTGTAACAATGCATAAGATTCTAATAAGCTTACTGACATTTAGAAATGGGAAGAAAGGAGCTAAAGGTGTAGGGAAGGTGGGATGGGTAGGGGAAGAGTAAAAAGGGAAAAGAAAAAAATGTGAGAGAATGAAAAGATGAAAATAAAGTGTTTGTAGATGGGGAGGGGAGGAGGGGGTGAAGGGAGGGCTGAGGTAAGGGGAAAAAATGAGAATCAAGACTTGTCATGTAGAGAAACATGATCCCAACAATGAATGTAACTGTACTGTATCCCTAAAATGTACCAATAAACTCAATTAAAGCTGAGAAAAAAAAAAGAAAGAAAACTGTTGTCAATGCTGATGCATAGATCTTTGTACAAATATATGATCTTGCTTGTCTCTGATAAAGGGAAAACCTTTACTCTTTGGTAAATTCTTAGAAGTAAGGTTGCTGAGTCAAATGATAAGTGTATATTTAACATTAAAAGAAGCTGTTAAATTTCCTAAAGCTGATGTACTATTTCACATCCCCATAAGCAATATGAGAGGCGTGAGTTATTCACATCTTTTCCAGCACTTGATATTATCGGTCTTTTAAATTTTAGATATTTTTAGTAGGTATGAAATCTCTTACACTCTTAATTTGTTTCTAATAACTAATGATGTTGGACAGTTATTGTATATATACTTGAGATCTATGTATGTACATTAGAAATCTACTTTATATAAAATCCTATTTCCATTGAGTTACATTGTCAAAAAGAAACTGACCACATATGTATGAGTCTCTGGACTACTGTCTTTCATTGATTCTTCAGTCTAACCTCATCCCAATACCACACATTCTTGATTAATATAGTTTAATGTAAGTCTTTAAATTATGTATCAGAAATCTTCAAACTTTGTACTTTTTCAAAGTGTTTTGTCTAAGTCC